CCGGTTACCGTTAAAGTTAAAATTATTTAAAATGGTAATATTTGGAATAATCTTAAAATTTACTAAGGATGAGTTACATTAACTAACTATAAACCTTAACCAGCACATTCCCGATGGTTACGTCTTCGGATGTTCATGATATTCGCTACACCAGTTTTGCGCTGGTCAAAATGACGTCATATTTGACACTAATCATAACCGCCCGATTTTGGGCGGTTATAGTTAGCGTTACGGTTAGTGTCAGTTCGGTAGTGTCAACTGTCACAAGCTCTTATCTTCAAAAGCACAAATAATGGAAAAAGTAATGGAAAAAGAAAATATCTACTATTATCCTATACATAATCCAGAAGAATAAAGTCTTGCGTGCTCGGAAATAATGGATTTCCAAGATGGAACTCGAAATTTGGCCAAACATTCAGTTTGGACAAATTTCGAGTGTCTAAGGCCATAGCAACAGCGCTTGTCCCTTTTCTCTTATTTAAAAAAATGTCCTCTATAAAAGGTCAATTTATAATATGCATTGACAGGACAATTTATAATATGGAAAATAAATAAGATGCATTTATATTTGTATAATTTTATTGCTTCATTTTTGCTACATATTTGAGTAGTAAAGTAAATACAGTTTCAATAATGGCCCAAACTAGTTTATTTTCACAAGAGTTTGCCATTTTCTCCATCTTCGTGGGCAAAAAGTTTATTTCACTATAAAATAGCATGCGTATGATACATAAATATAATCGGCGAAACATGAATTTCCAAACATTTTAATTAACGTAAATGTCATTCTTGACACCAACTTGACACTTTAGTGACATTCAGGTTTAAATGTTTCCATTGTAAAAACGAAAAACACATAAAACCTCTGTGAGAATATGTTTTTGCACTTGTAACCCTATTATAACTTTTACGATAACCAGCGATTTGATGCAACTCACCCTTAAACTATTGTCTTAACTTAATCTAGGTCTTTATTATATTTCGTAACTTAGTTTTAAAATGTGTAATTCAAGGTCATACTTGATCCGGGGCGCTTTGTGGCACAACACGGCCCAGTTCTCAAGCTTAGGGACCCGGAAATATGACGGTCACGACATTTTACTCCTACATACAATACATTACGATTTATCTAAGAGGTAACAAACGAAATTTGCAAGCTTGCGTAACACATTAACAAAGACATTAAAAACTGTACTATATTCGACTTCTAATGTGAAGTTTACAAGACATTTTGTTTTAATATTGTGATACTATTAACACATTCAGTGCTGCAAAGATTTTCACACATATCGTGGACACATCGAGAGCCGGTCAACGTATTAAAAGGTGAAACAGACTGGAAAATGATGTGAAAATGTTTTACAATACTTCAATTCCTGATTCTTATTTGTAAATTAATCTAGATTCTGGAGTAATAGTAATTTAACAGCGGAATGCAATCAGCTGACGGAGTCACCAGTACAGCGATGTTACTAAAGCGACAAAAACAGGCAATCAGAGCTAACTGCACTGTGACGTCATCGAAATATTGAAATATATACTGTAATCAATTTATGAGACACCTCGCCTGTTCTCTATTGATTTATATAACAAGTTTAACAAGTAATTAGTTTATTAAAACACTGGCTGTTCCCGTGCGGCTTCATCCGCATGAAATTATAAAAAAATTATTTTATTGTTTACATTTGTCAACTTATCAATAGCAAATGTCAAAATGACATGACATGACAAACCTTAGCAATCTTACTTTCTTGATGTTGGCAGCAACTTATGGTCTCTTTCCCACATTAGGGTTTTTATCCAAAACATTTACCCCTAAGTCTAATGTCGTGGAAATATAGCCTAAAGCGTGACGTGTAGGGCTTTTTATTAAAAAAAGGATTATTAAAAAATATGCTGTAATTGCAATCTTAGGCAACAAAGAGGTGTGTGTTTACGCTTTATTATAATAGTATAGATTTATGTCTTAATTGTAAGAAAAACCCTCTGGTTTCTTGTAACTTTTTAGTTTACTGATTCCAAACTCACTATTAAATAACTCCATTATATCCTTATATTAAAAACTGATCCCATTTAGACAAGATAAATTCGATTTCTTTTTCTACGTGTATAGTTAACAAGGTATTTTCTTTTTAATTTAATATTCTCGTGATTTGATCGCAGGAGTTTGGATATTTATTCTTGTTTGTTTCTAAAAGTAATATTATTAGAATGTATTGCATTTATTCTTCCTTAAGCAATGATTACGCGTACATAATTATTGTGTACAGCACAGAAGCAACGACCTTTACCTGTGGAAAGTATTTATTCTCTAATGATAATGATGATTATATGTCAATTCTGAGTATTAACTACATCGTACACCTACTCTTGAATTATTTGTAAAATCTTTAGTTGGAAATCTCTATAGACAGGTTATAAAACAGGTAAGGATTCGACTTGATGGAATATACAAAACTTCAAGGGGCCAGTTTAAGTCGGAATGATACAAAAGATGTCATTCCCAAAACACGATCTGTCCATTTATAGAGATCAGTTACATTGCTTTAATCGTAGATGTTTTCTTTTTTTAGTAAACAACCGAAAATTAGGGGCCAGTTCGTTTCTGTAATAGAGTGTAATGAAATCCTGTTGTCTTTTTAAAAAAAATAATTGTCATTAAAACGAACGAAAATTAGCTGCCAGTTCGTTTCTGTAATAGAGTGTAATGAACCCTTGTTATCTTTTTTTTTATTAATAAATTGTCTTTAAAATTGTAAAAGGCCTTTTCGAATGCCAATCTTTTAGTGTCCCTCTAGTAATACATGAGAAATGCGAAAAAGTATGTCACGATAATTTAGAACATTTCTTGTCTGTGCCAACCGATTACCTTAAAACGAACTGGCTCAGTTGCAGTAAAAAGAGTCGTAGAAAAAATTCACTAAAGATAAATAAATTGAGTCACCTAAGAGTAATTAGAAAAGTCAACGCTGAATAATCGATTTTATCAAATTTGTTTTAAGTAAACGAAGACATCTAGTCTAAATCATATACCATAAAGATATTTCCATAAATTTGCAAAAAGAATATATCTCTTCATAACTTAAAACATATTATTATGATAAAAATTTCTACAATGATCAACCAATGAAAACTTAATAAAATCTGATTATTTTAAATCAGAAATAGTGAAGTTATGTAACGTTAATAACGTTAACGTTAGTTGATAACAGGTGGTAACTAGTCTACGACTATTAACTCTATTTCTGTCACCGCTTTTCACTAACGTTTGGAAACAGTTAGTACATACACGTACTTGCGTTTCTATTGCGTATACGTTTTGAGTTTTACTCATAAAGTCATTACTTTGTACAGTAATTATTAATAATAGAAATAACCTTGTTGTTTATATTGTAAATGCTTAGTTTAAACAATTAAACTAAGATTCTTTGCTATGAAATGTCTGGTTTTCTTGTTTAATTAAATATTATTTATTTAAAACACATGTTTTAATATAAATTAATTTTTGTAATTTGTAAAATATGAAGTGAATCTGAAATAAATGAGATCGTAAAATATTTGAGAAACATATCGAGATACACACAGATTAAAATTCAGTATTTTATATGTACTAAGTTCATGTTGAGATTCGATATAAATTTAGTAAGAGGGTCATTGAACCGGACCAGCAATTGTCCTTTCTAACCGTACCTAGGTACAGCTAGCAGAAACAAGTACTTAGGTACAGTCAGCAGTTGCCCAATCTACCGAGTGCCACAATTATCTCAATGGAAAATTTGCATTTAAACCGGAATTGTTGCTATAATTTTTGCGATTACAAATTCAATCAGAAAAAGATTACAAACAGTTACTACGATAATAACACACTACTAAATGATTAAATTGAATAAAATACAAACTTTTAAAACAAACTGCCTTATGGCCTAAAGGTTTGGGGTACGGACTACCGATCTTGCGGTCGACGGTTCGAATCCCGCCATTCGACTATCGTCGTGAACCATATCCTAGCACAAGCCTAAAGCTTAGTTGGAATGGTAATGGGAATTATTAGTAAATTAACAAATATCTACTGATGTTAAAAAAAAAACTTTAATAATATAATTAAATGTTATTAATAAATTCTTTTCTATATTCTATTCAGCTTGTGTTCAAAGCAAATAAAAAAAAATTCTAGGTTGCAAAAGCTTTGAAATAATTTTAACAATTATAACATAGCAACAATGTTTAAATATAAAACGAGTTTATCAGAATGATCTGGAAACAGACATTCGAAATGCCCCGACCTACAAACAAGGCACACAATAAGTTCACACAAAATGTCTTACTCACTGCCCACAAATGCTGGCAATGCAATTACATTCTGCACGCAGACGAACTAAAGATAAATAAGCATGAAGTAGTTTCAGCAATAACTTCTTTGTTAATTATCTGAATTTAACGAACAGTTTCTTGTAATATTTTACCTAATATATCTTAATTGTTATTTAAAAATGGAGTAAAACTAAGCTTCGACTGTTGACTGTTAAAGACATCAACGCGTTTAAAAATAATGCCAATTTACTTGGGAAATACTTTGTAAACAATTTGCCTTAATTATTAAGAAATGTAGTTAAAATTTATAAAAGTGTATTTCGTTAAAAATTTACGTATTTTTTATTCATTTATTTGATTATGGTTTAAGGATCACGGCTCACTGAAACTATACATAATTTATCGAATCACTGAATTCACAGTTCACAAAAATAAATTATCCAAAAATTTCTTGTTTAATTTGGTGTTCCTGAAACCACGATTATTACTATAAAAATATACAATTAATAGTTTATGGAAGTAACAAAATTCATTAAGAAAAAAAAATATTTTCACTTTCCTCCGAAGCTTTTTTAAACATAGCAAAATAATTTTAATAATTAATTATGTATATTAATGTATTTAAATAATTCCAATCAACTTTTATAATAACACATCAATCCTATAAATCACTTAATTTTGACACTTACGTAAATTTTGGCGGTCATTTTGTTGGTGAACTGTCAACTGTCACTTGTCACTCGCGAGCGGGGCGCATGCGCGGTGTGCGCGCGGAGAATGGCGGCGGCGGGCACGCGCGCAATATATACCCTCCCACCAAACGCGTTATTATATTAATTACGTTTGAATTTTCACTGCAAAGACACCAATCGATCTGGATCTAACACTTCCTATTTCCATAATCCAGAATCCAACAACAATTTGTCTGGAGAAAGTAGAAAAAAACTTTCCACACTTAAACATTGGAAAATTTCTTCTAAATAAAATTGAAAAAAATAACCTACAAATGTAGTATACATACATATTCAAATAACTTAATCTATGACAATACCAAAAACTCAACATTATGTCGATATTTAAACTTATGTTTAAACACTCAAATAAGAAATAAATTACAATGAATAGTTACTTAACGATTTATCCTGTGGTCAATGCACAGAATAATTACGACGGATCTCTTTAATTTTACCGTCAAACTTTCGATATTCACATTATTTAACAATTAAACAATCGAGAAAAAATAGAACCATTCAAGTTTAAAGTTAAGAACGTAATTTCTAATCGTAATATACATTAAAAAGATTAGGCCATTTACGTTAATTATTTACAAAAGATAAATTAAGATAAGATGATAAATAAAAAAGATAAAAAATGTATTTCCACTTAGACTATAATTACGTATAATAACGACTATGAGGTAGGTAGCAACGAAAATTGTGCAACAGATCAACATTGGCGGAGTTCATTATTCATTCAGCTGTGTTTGGCGCCCACTTCGGAGGCTATATGTTTGCTAAATATATTAAATGCTTTATGTGCAACGTGGGATAAAAGAATATATTCATGCGGCGTAGGCAGCGACCACAAAGTACCAGTTAACACGGGGGACTTTATAAGTCAATGGTTCCATGATGAAAATTTGAACAAAACAAACACAATGCCAATGTAAATATACGTATATAAACGTGTAGTAACAGCATAAACATCATTATCATTTCCCTTAACGGATATCTAGTATAGTTTTTAAGTCAAGTGACAAAAGAGTAAGAGGTCTCTAACTGAAAAACGTGGCAAAGAGTATCTGTAATCGACAGTAGAGAGGAATAAATATATTTTCATTGCCATCCATCCCTTCCCCCACCTAATCTACTTCGAAAATATGTAAAGGTCTAAGACCTTTGTAGAAAATATTGTAATATTTTTTTCCTGTGACGCATAACTTTCGCTGTAACATTAATTCGGGCAACGATCACACGCAGACGTGATTATGTCGCGAAAGTTATTCCCATAGTAATTAAAATTTCTTAAAACATTAAAACTTTTTTATTACGTATTTAATTGTGTACTTAAATACCGAATAACTATTATCTTCTTAACTAGATCATAAAGTAAAAATAAACAACTTTATGTTTCATTTGATACTGTGAAAAACATACTCTTTGTCCCATTTTTTTATTTTTCCGAAGATTTTTTTATCTGTAACCGGATGCAATTTCATTAGTACATTGGTACCCCATCCGCGGCGTTCACTTAACATAAGTGTTGCCTCACTTTCACACAAGGTTAAGTTTCAATGACCCACACAAGTTTTCAGTACATACTGGGTACTTTGAAACATTCGTAACACGTACCTCGCAACTATGACTTATTTAAATAATAATTACAGATACTTAACCTTTATACAAAAAAAAGAATTGTTTAGTGACGAAATATCTTCATAATTAGTCATAAACTGAAAATATACATTGATATAAATACGTTATTTGATTCGGAAAAACTATCTCTATATACTTTTATCATTTATTTAAAATAACAAGAAAACTAACGCAATGATGTCGCTGTTGGAGTCGAAAATCGATCGTAACATAAAATAAAATCAAATCTAACATAATCTGACAAATACGCTTTAAAAGTCCGCCAGACTAGAAGAATGATAGAGGCAGCAAAAAAATAATGTTTTTATCAAAGGTATTGTAGCCGGACGGACAAGGGCATTGAAGTATTAGCACACAAAGCAAGGCCGGAGCGTGTCCGGCTGTCCGGCTGTCCAACTCTATGAATCATTACAACTATATGTACGTATTTACACCACCCAGCAATGTAAATTTTTTCATTACTAGCTTTCGCATGTGTTTATGTCCGTGAGAAATTGAAAAAACAACATTAAATAGCCTACATATTCTTACAGACTATCTTCTACATCTAACTATGTCAAATTTAATCTAGATTCGTTCAACAGTTTAGGACTACAAACTCTAACAAACATCCATCCATCTAAACTTTCGCATTTATAATTTTAGTTATAAAATGGATAATAGTAAGAAAACGCATACCAATCTTTTATCTAAAACATACAACAATTGTGAAATCATAGTCTATATTAAACTGCATGTCGAACTAGTTTTTTAACAATTAAATTTAAATTGCCTTGACTCGATACGTCTTTCTCTCAAGTCGTGAGTTCTGTGGAGGGCGGGGCGGTGTAGCCGGGCAGGCCGTACAGGCCGGATGTGCGACCCCACGCTTTAAAGTAAATCGGTTTTAGAAAGATTTCGCAGAACACAGTCTATCTCTTTAGGTAACAAGCATAAACATTCTCGTAGTATTGAAGTATTTCTTCCAACTTTACGCGAAGATATCGTAAATCGTTAAGATTGTAATACATATGAATTATTAATGATCGAACACATAACACTCACAGTATTAAGTTTAGATCATTGCTTCCATTCAGTAACAATTTACAATTAGGACAATAATATGGAGTGGTGCCAACGCTTTTCCTTCGTTTACCGCACTTACGCAAGATCAAACAAGACTTTATTGCTACATGCTACACTTATATAGTAGAAAATATTTTTATTACTATCTATATAACCGTTAAAGACATCTACAGAAGATATAAAATAAAAATATAAACTCAAAATCTTTTATCATAAAATAATATCTTATATTCATAAAATACCAAGTAATAGATAATTGTCATATTCTGTTTTACTTATCAAAGCAAACCTTTTTAATTTTTTTAAATATCGTTACAAATAAAAAGCATTCCAATTTCAAATGTAATTTATTTGCATCTTTTAACACCTTAATGATTGCTCAATTTCCCTCGTTTACAAATTGGCGCGCAGAATAGTTAGCATTTGACATATGTCAAGACGCCATTATTGTTGAGGCAAATGCATTGATTATTCAGCCAGTAGGTTTGTTACGATACGTTCGGAAACCGAGACGAATAACTTTGCCGCGGGCCGCATCGCAAGTTGAACAATACAATTTTGGATTTACATTCAATTGAAACAGATTTGAACTCTATTCACTTGTATTAGAACGTGTGTTTGTACAATTGTACTTTGTATTTGTTTAGGACATGCGTTTAAGTTGCCACATTGAGCCGCTGTTCTAGATATGTCAAGGACTGTTTGCAAAATTACTTTTTTCGATACACGTACTCTCATCTAAACCTGATTGTGTGTGCAGTTACATTTGAACAGGCTAAGATCAATGACTTTTAATGTTTTGATTTATCGATTTACGTTCCGTTCAATGTGTGGTTGTGTATAGATAGTAGGTCTCATTGATCGCTACAAAAATCGATTCACACCTACAATCTACAGACTAGAGGAAGTGACGCCCTCGTGCAATTCATTCCCACATCTTTGACCAGATAGATCCTTGTTGTAGGTGAACTACCACGCTGCAATAAGAGGGACCACCATGCCTGGTTTCGAAACTGATTCCTTGGTGAAAAGTTAACAGCGTATTGTTTATCTACTTGCTGTCTATTACCTTAATATTTATTAATTTAGAAGAACGAAAAATTTAATACAAAATCATTTATATAATAAAAGCAATAACGTTAACATTTCCTTGAACTTTACATTGGTCTTATTTTTTTATTAATAGCACAATTTATAATGCCATCTTTATTAATTACATCCGAATACAGTTTCCTTAATATATTAAAATAAATACATACAAATCAAATAATTACTAATTCATTATATGGTCAAATAATGTGACTCAGTTTTTTATGTTTAGGACAGATTAAAAAAACCGGATCTTATTGCAATAAGAATTGTTTCAAAAGTAAAAGTGATACTGTTGTGGAGCTAGAAGAAGTGTTATTAAATCGTTGTAATTGTCAAGGACATATCTGTTTTTGAATGTTAAAACCTTTCATGTTAATAAGGAAATCCGTACGCCGTAAAAAACTAAATAAATTAACTTATGCGCATTTATATTGCCTAACTTTATTCAATATATCACCGCTGACTATCAAATTATGCATTTTTAATAGTAGATGATCGTGAGTCATATATCCCGTTTCTAAAACTAATCTACATATGTTATACCCTTGTAACGATTGAAATGAGCTGATATCATTTCTCTATAGTCATTTTGAAATTGCTCCCATGTCTTTTTCAACGAACTGAAAATATTTCAGTCCCTACTTTAGAAGAGAGAGTAAAAAAATAAACTTTTGAGCTTTAGCCAAGTTTGACACTAGCTTTTCTTTTAATTATTTTTATTTATTATTTAATAGGTTATTTTTCCTTAATTACATCATGCAATAACATATTATAAAAAACGTATGGCTAACATATAAAGCACAATTGGTCAAGCCTTTCGTCTTAGTAATTGTTTTAGCGCAGAGGCAAAGGTCGTCAGTTCAAGGTACACGCCAGTCTCCGGGCATTGTCTCCAGTGTTGCCCGTTGCCCGCCTAATCTGAACACCGTGAGGCCACTTCCCTGTACCGACTGCTATATTGATGGATTTCCAATAATCTGAATACGTTTGACCTTTACTACAAGGCTGTAATAATTTAATATATTGTTACGATTAAAATTATTACGTCTATTGTTAATATGGTTTCTCTTTCTCGCCTAAGAATAACATTTAAAACTGTTACATTGAAGTTTAACAATAGATTTATCGAAATGATTAATTTAAAAAGCTAGATCTAATTTCATATCGATGTTTTAACCTTTAAATATGAATTGGCGGGCACCTGTCAAAAATTGACGGATGGAGACCCGCCTTGGACAAAAGATTAGTTACCGCTCGAACCCACCTTGACCTGGCAACACACGCCCTCTTGTTATTATCTCATGTTAAACAATAAATTGAATTTTAATCGTGCGTAGACATGTGTTACATTAACAATAACCTAGTTCAATTAAGAACAAATGAGACCGGATACACGTACTAACAAGTTACTAATATAAAGTACAAGTATAAAATGAATAGGTTAACCTATGACACAAATTATTATTCATTCATATTAATAGTATGTGTAACATGCACCTGTGCAGACTTTCATTTTCTGGTTAATAAATATAGTAAATTATTAGTTACCGTACAATATTAGGTCATTTGCTGTCTACTCTAAATATTTTAATTCTACTTTAATCTATAGTTCTACGGCAAAACAGATTGAGATCAATCGAGATTTATTCTGTAGAAGTACACATTCAATAACAAAACATTGCATAATATCAGCGTAAGTACTTGGCAGAATTTACGCAATTTGTATCACTTATCCCTATTCGAGCGGCCACGCAAAAGAAAGCGGCGTCCTTAGGCAGTCGCGGCGCCTGATAGGAATCTATAAGTTGATTGTACTGCCGAATATGTCATTGTCGGAATCAGAATCTAGGTTGCGATGTAATCCCATGTCCCAAAACTTACGTCAAGTCATACTTTGTTAAATAATAGTTTTAAAAAGTAAGACAGTTCTTTAGTTGCTTTATTTGAAGTGGACAAGGTTTGCATATCTTTCGTACGGAAGTGTATCAGAAACCCGTAAACTAAAGAAATTGTGAATTACCAGAAACTCATAACGCGCTTAAATATGAATTAGATATTTTTACGCTCTCGTAACTTATGTAAACCATATGATCAGGATTACCTATAAACAAATGAAATTAATTGAGGAAAATTCTCCATGTAACAGCTCATTTGTATTAACGCGGGAAACGATCTACAAGTTTGGAATAATAGCAATTTGTAAAAAGCGCCATCTTTTGACGCGAAGGGTTGAAAAAAAGTCCCTAAAATTGTTTTAGTATTGTTATTGTTTACAATTTTACAACGAATATAACTTTTTTATTTCTGGGATTTCACCTTAACTTAATTTGGCTAAGTTTATTTTAATTTAAATGCATTTTTGTAAACAGAGCACCATATTTTTAATTTTTAGAAATGTCACAGCTGTCACTAATACGTCAAAATTATTGAATTGCTTTTGGTTTGAATGATGCTTGTTTTTTACATGTGATAAAAGATAAAATAAAAATAAACCTTGTGCCAATAATAACAATTTAAAACATTTTAAATAAATGATTTCGACATAACAACAATAATTTTACTGTATTAACCTAAATAGTAGATTACAAGACTGGACTAATTTTACGGTACACCGCTTTATTTAATTGATTTGAGTAAGAAAAACGAAATATCTTGTAATTAAAGACCGTTCGGAGCCAGGACATTTTTATATAACGTAAATATGATTCTGTAACGTTATTACGTATGAATTATATCGTAAGCGCTGTAAATAATCGGGTTTATTACATTTTCAAGTAAAAGAAAACCTGTAACATGTCGATGCCACATAGCAGCTCAAGTACGACCAGCTCCAGTACTAAACGCAAAGAGATTTACAAGTAAGACAATCTTAAATATCTATGATTTAAACTATAAATTGTAAACAAACTTAACTATACTTCAGAAATCGTAACTTACAATTTCTTAAAAAAGATAATTTATGTAGAATACAGAATAGTGATAAAAATTGTACAGAAAATACAGTATTGAAAACCCTTTTACTACATTAATATATTCTGTGAGAGTCAAATACTGATGCTGCAATAAATAGTAGAATTTAAAGTTTTATTAAGACTTGGCCATGTAAACAAGGTAGATTATTGTTTAAGCCATTATAAGGAATTAAAAAGGTAAAAAAAACGAAGAAGTTTTCACAGTAATGTTTTCATTTATTTGTGTATTTCAGATATCAAGCACCATGGCCACTGTACTCCATGAACTGGTCAGTAAGACCTGACAAACGGTTCAGACTGGCGCTTGGCAGTTTTGTTGAAGAATATAATAATAAGGTACTTTAATTGTCACTAGAATAAGTATACTCTAATAGCTGTCACCTGTAACTGTCTATGCAGAATTAAAAAGAAATTAATAGTAGCCTATGTGTGCTTCCAGACTGTTCCATATCTATGCCAAATTTCAACATGATCCATTAAGTTAATCTGGAGCTACCTTTCCCTTTCCTTTTCCAACCGTTTCTTACAAGAAAAGAATCATCACCAAGCTCACTAGACATCCCCACCGAGGGGCTTGGAGCCTACCCTAATAAGGGGTAACTAGGCCATAGTCAACCATGCTGGTCCAGTACGGGTTGATTGACTTTACACATATCTTTGAATTTCTTCTCGATATGTGCAGGCATCACGATGTTTTCCTTTACTGTAAGAACGTCGGGTAAATTATGTACATATGAAAATTTGAAAAATCGAAAATCACATTGGTACACGACGGGATTCGAACCTAAGAGCTGTGGATTACATGTCAAGTGTTTAAACCACTGAGCCACCGACAGTCCAATTCTACAAGAAAAGGATGGGAAGGGGAAAATATACATTTACTGCGCATTTCTCTCATTAAGGCTAGGCAACACATCTGAAATTATTATGGGCAGCGATTGCTTTGTCATTTTGGCAGATTAACATGGCTACATGCCCATTGGCTATCTTATAGTATAAAACACAAACATCCATCCTTCTAAACAAGAACATTTAATAATTAACATCTGATGGGATCTTAGTATTCAATGATTTATTTATATTTTAACTTTTTATTTAGGTACAAATAATATCCCTAGATGAAGAGACAAGTGAGTTCAGTGCAAAAAGTACATTTGACCACCCCTACCCCACCACCAAGATCATGTGGATACCTGACAGTAAGGGGGTGTATCCTGATCTGCTCGCTACAAGTGGTGAGTACTGCATTTAGTTAATAAACACAAATATATTTAGTCATTTATAAGAAGGCAAAATTGCTTTTTAAGGCTCTAGTTACATTTTATTCATATATCTTAACTTAAGAACACTTTGATATTTATGATGTCAGCAAATACAATGTATTTTCGAATAATTCTTATTTTAATAGAAAACTACATTAATGGCACGCTATACGCTATATATTCATGCTATTTAATTCAGGGGGTGAATAAATTTCTTGTGTGAAATTGGTGGTGGTGAAGCCGCAAGAGAATAGGGCATAATGTATTGTAAACAAACACTTCTTTGTCATATAGGATGTCAGCACTCACAGCATATATTTTAATAATTCTTTTCTTAATAAATACCTCTAGACTTAAGACATGTTATAGGCTATATATTTTCACTATATTTATTTTAAGGAGTGAATAATCGTATATATTCACTTTTTAGGTGATTATCTCCGTATATGGCGTGCTGGTGAACCATACACACTATTCGAGTGTGTGTTGAACAATAACAAGAACTCAGACTTCTGTGCTCCTCTCACATCCTTTGACTGGAATGAAGTGGACCCCAATTTAATCGGCACCAGCAGTATTGACACAACTTGTACCATCTGGGGCTTGGAGACGGGGCAGGTGCTGGGACGAGTCAATGATGTCTCCGGACATGTTAAGACGCAGCTAATCGCTCACGACAAGGTAATCATTTGGTTTCGTACACAATCATACTAATATTATAAATGCGAAAGTTTTAATGAATGGATGGATAGATGTTTGTTAGAGTTTGTAGCCTAAACTGCTGAACGGATTTCAATGAAATTTGATGAAGATGTAGAGGATAATCTGGAAGCCCACGTAGGCTACTCACTTTCGTTCAACTAGCACTCTGCGACTATACTCGCCCTGAAGGTCCCCCGAAGGTCTGAAACTTTAGTTGAGCCGTTTTTAATTTTCGCTTAAAGAAAGAAGGTAATAGAGTATCGTGTGTTCAGGAAGTGTACGACATCGCGTTCAGCCGCGCGGGCGGCGGCCGCGACATGTTCGCCTCCGTCGGCGCCGACGGCTCCGTGCGCATGTTCGACCTGCGCCATCTCGAGCACTCCACCATCATATACGAGGTATCTGCTCTCTACCTCACTGGGAAATTATCCACTTGTATATTTTACATTTTAAAATCTATTTAATTATGTAAAATGTCAAATTTCTCTGTTACTGGTATTGTCATTACCAGACATTTCAGGTCGTCCCTGATTCATAGGCAAGTTGTATGGCCTGGCGCCTATGTCTCACGGTCAAAGTATAAATTGTGTGAAAGAGTATATTCTTAACCCTTAACCTGAAGTTTCAAATTCGATACCGGCGTTATATAATATTGGGTACTTAAAATCTATTTTTTCAATATTAGGGTGTTCACATGTTACCTTTGACTGATTTTCAAGTTAGAAAACAAAAAGGAGTATATCACGAAAATGTATAAAAATGCCGTTTTATTATTTTTACTATTTCCCCTTTACTAAAAAACACGGTAGAGGGTACACTTATAGCTATATATAAGCTAGTGAATTAATATATGACGGCTGAAGATGTATGGAGCAGCATAAATTATCCCTCTGTAGGGTCAAGTTGATAATTACTCCCGAGGAATCTTCTTTCACAATTAAGCGTTTGTTTTAACTCGTGAGGACCCGCAACACACACCACTACTGCGGCTGGCGTGGAACAAGCAGGACCCTAACTACCTGGCAACAGTGGCGATGGACGCCTGCGAGGTGATCATCCTGGACGTGCGCGTGCCCTGCACGCCCGTCGCCAGGCTCAACAACCACCGCGCCT